AACTAATTACCCACAGGACACACACACACACACACACACACGTGTGGAGCCCCGCAAACAAAGGGGGTGGTCGAGGGGCTACGCTCTGCGTGCAGTGCGGCGGGTGCGTCGGGGTGCGTGCCTGGCGGCGGCGCATCGCCAGCAAACCAACAGTGGACAAGACGGGCGTCGGCGTCCCTGCGGGCCCGGGTGGTGGCGGTGGCTCTCACAGCGGATATAGGGGTTCCATCGCCCACCGCCGAGCTCGGGGTGGAAGGGGGGAGGGGGAGGCGACAACAATTAAATGACCGAGTTACAGCCTTACAGCCTTACCGCCGCCTTTCCACACCGTCGGTAATTAACTCTGGCGGCAACAATGGGGCTCCCTTCCCCTTCCCCTGCCCTCCGCACTCGCTCCCCGCCGACGCAGCGAAGCAGCGACGAAGCACGCCGCAGGCACGCAGCAGGCAGGCAGGCTCCCCTGCAGATTGAGGGCCTATGTGACGAGCATGGGACGCAAACAGGTGCGGCCTGGATCCGCCGCCCCCGCCCCGCCCCCACCGCCCCCGCCGCCCCCAGCGGGGCGAGGCGCGGCGCCAAGGCAGGGCAAATTAAGTGTCCCCCGGGTCATTAAAATTTGCATTCCCCTTCCCCCACCGCCGCCTGCGCCACCCTCGCCTCCTCGCAGGCGAACGAGAGCCCCAAGCCGCCCCCGGCCCCAGGACGACCCCAGGACGCCCGCGGCGGCGACGTGCCATCCCTGGGACTGCAAACAGACGGTCGGGCGGACGGACGGACGGCGCCGTGTCCCTGGCGACACGATGCAGTGCTCGACGCCCCACGTCGGCCTCGGCGAAGGACCCGGCCGAGGACTCGGCGTGCACGTCTTGGCCTCACAAGCGACACGTTGATTGCGTCTCGGCGGACCGCCACACCGCATGCCGCCAGGCCGAGTCCAAGCGTGCGTCTCTCTCTCACTCGCACTCCCCGGACGACGCGTGCGAGAAGGACACAGCGACAGGGTTCGGACCCGCTCGCCGTTTGGCCGTTTGCACCGTGGCCGCCCTCCCTCCGCGGCCGGCGCGGCGCGGCACCCTCCGTCGGCGTCCGTGAGACACGCGAGTGGCATCGTGCGGCCCGCCGCGGCATGCCGACCTGCGGGACGGCCTGCGGGACGAGCGCGGTGGCGCGGCCGCGTTCCGAAGGACAGGCAGGCCGCCCGCCCGGCCCTCCCTACGCCCTACATCGTGCCCTCAACCTACAGGCTTTCTGTTTCCATAATTCACCGGTCGCCCGCAATCCAATCGAAAGCCCTGCCCCCGAGCCTACTGCTGCTACTGTGGGGGCGGCGTGCGTAGCAGCCCCGCTAACGCCGCCCGCCGCCACCAAGCCCGTCTGTTCGGAAATCACGTGACGCGGCGCCCTCGGCTCCCTCGGCCTCGGAAGCGTTCGGCGTGCTTCGGGAAACAACACGAATGGTGTGCTTCCGCTCGGGGCGAGGCGCGGGGCACGCGGCACCGGCGGCGCAGTAAAAAGAAGGCGGCGTCGGCGGGCCGGGCCGGGCCGTCCGGCGAGAGGCCCAGCAGGCCGTGCACTTGTTGCGCCCCACGCGCACCGCGGCACCGCCTCGCGCCGCGGCGGCACTCCGCCTCCGCCCGCACGACGTGCCCGCCGAGGGGGGACCCACTAGGCACATTCGTTGTACATCCTGAGACCCAACTCCCGAAAAACTCACTCACATTCAAGACACATTCCACACATTCTCATAGAATCAAAACAATCAGCCACAATCCACCACACTCTTACACATTCGCTAACATTCCCTAACATTCTCACACAATCGCTGTACATTCTCTGACATTCTCATACATTCAGTCACATTCTGGACACATTCTTAACACATTCTCTGCACATTCCTTACACATTCTCAATGACAGTCCCCTAAAAATATTTATTTTAGTCTAATAACTTCGATTTAGGTTTACGTTCCTTTCAGCTCTAGCAGTACTTCCCTCCCTCCAGTGCGGTAGTGCGGTAGTTCGTGTCCGTCCCGAATCCGAACGGAGCCGCTGGCCCGTGCTCGCGTCGGGATCGTCCCTGGAAGCGCGCGAAACTCTGTCGAAGTCGAGTCAGCCAAGCCCCAGCCCCGGGTCGAGGACAGGATATAGTTTACTGGTTATAGATATAAGGTTTGTCACTTGAAAGTGTTAATTTACATTGCCCTTTGCTTAAGTTCAGTTTTCTTTTCATTCAAATTTGAATCCTTTCATAACGTAAGCCAGAGCACGACTAGAGTCGTTTAAAACTACCTCAAAAAAAAAAAAACCGTTTGGAACTGGCAGTTTGAGATAATGCTTATTAAACTGTGCGTCACTTGAACATTAGCCGCTCTGCGTGTTTGTGACTAAATCTGGCCGTCCTCCGCAGCTTCTCAGGGGGGCCAGCCACCCTGGATGAGCACGACTAAGGAATGAAAGGAGTCGTCCAAAATCTGGCAACCTCATGCGACAAAGCAAGATTTATAGAAGCAAAGAAACACCACTATGATGAACGGTTGACTACCTCAGGCGTGAAATTGGTTGCCTACCTTCACGGCGCTATGCAGAGACGTCGGCCGCACGCCCATTCAGCACACAATCTTCACACATTCTCACACATTCTCGCACTTTTTCTTACATTCTCACACATTCTCATACAATCTCTAACAATCCTGACACATTCTGTCACATTCTCACTACAATCTGTAACATTCACACACATTCTAGACAATCTTTACAATCAGTACATTCCATTACAATCTTTACATTCTCACACATTCAACACATTCTACACATTCTACACTCAGTTGTACACTTTTTGGGGCAGTGGGTCCCCCCTCGGTGCCCGCCGACGTCGCCGAGACGGCCAAGGCTGCTTGCTGCGCCTCCCTGCTGCAGTCCCGGAGCATTAGTCCGCCGGGCTGGCCGGGCTGGTCGGCTGGAGGGGTGGCGGCGGGAAAGGGAGACGGCGGCCCTGCGACGCCCTGCGCCTGCGACGCCATGCTGGCCGAGCAGGCCGTGCTCAGCGCCAATCAATACTGGCGGACAGTGGACAGCGCAGTGGCGGCCCGCTAGCAACTTCGTGTGCGACGGCAGTTACAAACCGGCGGGGACGACGACAGGTTCTTTTATTATTCACTCACTTTTGTTTTTATTTTATTTCCCAACGTGTCGCGGTGGCGTTTCGTTACAACCGTTTGAACCCGCGGCGGCGGCGGCGGTTCGATAGTGGAGATAATCGATTTCGTAGAATCGGCAGCGGGAAGCGATGGCGGACGGGCGGGTTCGAGAAGCAAGAAAGCGAACGGCGAACACAGAGCAGCGCGCCGTTCGAGATTCGATTCGAGTTTTCGGAGGTGAAACGCGGTGCGGGCCGAGGCCGCCGAGGCACGGGGAGGGGGGGGGGGGGGGGGGGGCGAAGGGCGTTGCCGCCACATTGCGGTTTGCAAACACATTGCACACGACGACTCACCTTGGCGGCGGGTGGGGGACAGGCAACGGGGACGGGGAGAGCTTCTAAACGCCGCTCTCTCTCCCACACACACTCGCGCACACGGCCCCGACAACGTTAGCGCTGCTGAATGCGCCAGCTCCACTCCGTTCCCTATTCATCCCCTGACGGCGAGGCCACGGCGGAAAGGAGAAGTGCGCGTGTGCCATGCTCGGTCGCCACGGCCGCCCCGGCCGAGCTGGCAGCCGACGCCGCGGGCCGCCCCGCCAGGGCTGGCAGCCAGCGCCCTTTCCCTGGAACGGGCCGACGGCGGCGGCCATCATCATCCATAATGCATCCCGCTAAACGGGACGCGGCGAACTGCAGCCGCTTCCGGGTGGCCGTCGGGGTGGCCGTGGCCGTGGAGGCCGCCCTGGAGGTCGCCGTGCAGGTCGCCGTGGTGGTGGCCCTGAAGGTCGCCGTCGAGGTGGCCGTCGAAAGCAAGAGTCAAGTCCCCGGCAGCGATTAGCAGGGCGTGCGCTTTGCTGCACGTCGTCCTCGGGGATGGGAAAGTAGGTGGGGCGCCGGGAGGTTGGTTCTGCGAGCGGAGCGGCGGGGGGACGGGTGGGGGGCGTTTGCCGGCGTTTGCACAGAGACAGAGGGAGTCGAAACTTCGACGGGTAAACTGACGCTCAACAAAAACACGACCTCGCCGCCGCACCTCGCCACGCCAAGCCGGACCCCGGCGGCGGCAGCGGCGCCGCGTCGAAAAAGGGAGTCGGGAACAACAACGGACCGCCAAAGCAACTTGGAGGTGTCGGGTGGAGAGGGCGCGGGAGCGGCCACCACGTCCAGGGCGGCCAGTACCCGACACACGCAACGCGACGCGGCCAGAGGCGCCGACGACGCGTCGCGACCTGTCCTGTCGCCCGCTTTCCTTCCATAGAGGCCAGCAGGCGCGTTCTGAGCGGCCGGTCGCTGTCTGACTCGCACTTCACGTACGAGAGGGACGGGGCGACGGGGCGCCCCAGCACCGTGTGGGTTCGGAGACAGCCCCCGGGGTTGGCGACGCTGGCCTGCACGCGGCCTGGCCGGCAGGGAGACCGCCAGGGCCATGCGGCTATCGACTGGCCATTCGTGGGACAGCTGAGCGACGCGGCAGGAGATAGCGGGCCTACGTGGTGGCGGGGCTGGCGGGGCTGGCGGCCCATCGACCGGAGGGCCAGGCTTGGCCAGGCCGACGGGGACGGCACGCCACGGACGCCACGGCCGGATGTACCGTGTCTTGGAAGCGGGTTGCCTACGCGGAGGGGACAGCGGTTCGCGCAGTGTGCCGCGCCAAGTCCGAGTGCGGTCAACCGTGAACGGTCTATCGCGGGGGCGGCGGAGCGTGCGGCGGGGCACGCCGAGCTCGCCGAGCACGCCACGTCGGCGGACGAGGACGACGGGGACGTCGTGGACGCCACCCTCTCCGCATTCCCGACGGAACGTCCAGCGGGCCGGGAATGCGGACACGCGGAAGCAGGCGAAGAAGTCCAGCACTACTCACTCACCAGGTGTGACGTTGCCTCTGGGCTTGGCGCCCAGGATGGCCAGGTTCACGTTGGCTTTCCTGCCGTCGATGATGGGGTTGGGGTCCTTGCAGGCCCTCTCGGCCGCGGGCCGGTCGCCCATAATCACCTGCGAGAGAGACAGAGACAGGGAATGAATAGGTGATGCGGTAATTTGGGTCCGCGGCTTAATTCGACGCCGGCTATTCCCGCGGCAGCCTGCTGCGGCGCGGCCTGCCTGGCCTTCTCGGACTCCTCTGCGATCGACAGCGCTTGATGATAAAAGCCAGCACGTGCTGCGTCCTTCGCGGTGAACTCCGCCGCTTAAAAATTCACTTCTGCCCCCCACCTGCCCCCCGGACCCGGAGCACTTGAGAATAAAGTTGGACGCGAACGAACCACAACGAGACCGTTGTTTACTCAATGTCCCGTCTCTTCCCCTGCCGGAGCACCGCGCTTCGTTTTTATTTTTCTTTATTATTTATTGTGCCCAAACTTTCGGCAAGGATGGGGCGGGAAGGGGGGGGGGGAGAAAAATCCCCGCCTTTTCTTTTGAATTTCGTTGGAGCATACAACCGACCGAGATACGGCGCGGGGCGGCGGGGAGGAGGTCGCGCGAGGACGACACAATGTCGGTCAGATTCGGGACGCGGAGAAACGTCCGAAATAACTTGAGATAAACTTGGAGGCGAATTTGGAGGTACTTACGAATCCGTAGCCTCGGCTCTTGCCGGTCTGCCTGTCGGTGATGACGACGGCCTCCTCGATGTCGCCGTACACGGCGAAGTGGTCGCGCAGAGACTTGTCCGTGGTGTGGTAGGGCAGGCCGCCGACGAACAGCTTGGTCCACGTCGTGTCCTTCTGCTGGACGCCGCCGCCCTGCGGCGTGCCCGTGGGCACTCCCGCGCCGGCCAGGGTCACGCCCTGGAGGCCGGCGCCCCCGACGAGGCCGGCGCCGAGGCCGTCCGCGCCGCCCAGCAGCGCGGAGACGCCGTCCGGACCGCCCAACGCGCCCGGCATCAACATGGCGGCCGTGCTCTGCAACAGGGAGACAGACAAAGTCAGCAACCAGGTCCTTTCCGCAAAGCGTGAAGTGGCCCTCGTAAGGAGGGCCAAAAGCCGCACTCTGCACCTGTGGGCGGCAACTTTTGCGACATCCGTGTGGGCTCTTCGGAGCCGCACTCTGCGGACTAAGGGCCCCCTGTGTTGCCCATCAACCTCACTAAGTAACAGTGAGAGGCTCATGCTGGACAGAGCCGTTTGTTGAACGTCCAACCTTAAACCTTAAACCTTAAACCTCCCAAACCCGCACCGCACAGGATCCACCCTTCACGTCGCCGCGCTCGGCCAGAGCGGCCAGAGACTGAGCAGGACGGACCAGGGTGAGCAAGCACCGAGCCGACGACGAGGAAATAGTTCCATCACACAATCAAGTCGGAATCGTCACCATGAACCCATCAGTCTGTCCGTCCGTCGTCCGTCCGTCGTCCGTCCGTGCCTCGCGTGGCCGGCAGCACCGCGTTCACGTTGGTTACCGAGCGGACCGGACTCTTATTCGGATCGCGCGGAGCAGCGATGAAGCGGCGGACGTCAAATAAAAAGAGAGATTGCTCTGCGGCGTGTTTGCGCCAGAGGGAGAGAGAGAAAGTGGATGGTTACAAGAAGCAATGTCAACATGGGCACGGCGGCACGGCAACGGCCATGGCGGACCAGAGCGAACCGAACCGAGCCGAACCGAACCGCAACGACAAACCGCCCCGCCGATTCCATTTCCACCTGACGGGGTGGGGACGGACAGGGACGGGACGAGCGGGGAGGAGCGGGGCGACTCGTGCAAAAACTATACCGTGCGGCCCGTGGACCTCAATAACCAAACATACAACACGCTACACGTACAAAAAGCAAACGGGGAACGAAAAATACACACACAGACGCACCTACGCAAGGAGACAGACAGACAGACAGACAGACAGACAGACGCACCGTGGCCGCGACACTGCCACACGGCGCCGATGAATCTGATTGCATTTCAAACGAAGGCGCGCCAGAATGCCAGAATAGACGACCTTCCGACGCGCATTTTCTCGCGGTCGTTCCCACCGGCACACCAACACACCAACACACAGGCACACGACATGCGACAACGCGGTGGGTACACTGAAAGGCGGCATTACACTTTGACGAGGAGATGGCACATGCATACTATGTACGGGACAAAGGACGAATATCGAGACACACAGACCAAGTTATGCGGTCGGGGGAGGGACTGAGGGAGGGACGGAGGGAGGGACGGAGGGACGGAGGGAGGGAGGGAGGGAGGGAGGGAGGGAGGGAGGGAGGACGTTCGCCACGCACGCACACCCTCGCCGACGAAGAGCTGGCGGCGGCGAAGCCGTAGACTCTGTCTCTTTCTCGCACTCATAGGGGCGTCTCACGATTGCGAGAGAGAGAGGGAGAGAGGGAGAGAGAGAGAGAGAGAGAGAGAGAGAGAGAGAGAGAGAGAGAGAGAGAGAGAGAGAGAGAGAGAGAGAGAGAGAGAGAGAGAGAGAGAGAGAGACGCCGCAGGCAGCGGCGCAGCCCTTCTCGCGGCCTCTATCACTCACGGACCAATTAGCAATCGATGGCGCTGCCAGTGGCGTAGTCTCTCTCTCTCTCTTTCTCCGCACGGCCCGCTGGACACGGCGAGATAGACTCCGCCCCGCCCAGTGAAGCACGCCGAAGCGCCGCTAAGTATGAACGAGAGCAGAGAGCCGCGTGGCCGTCACGGCGGGAAACGAAACCGGAGCTTGTTCGGCGGCGCGGGAGGTTTGAACAACACAACAACAACAACAACAACAACAACAACAACGGCCCCCAAGCACTCGGCGCAACTGCCCTCCTTGTCCGACAGCGATCATCAAAACGCGTCGCGTCCCCAACCAACAGACAGTCCCCTGCTCGCCCCGCTCCTGTTCAACTTTTCGACAGTAGTAGGAGAACTTGTCCGCGCGCCAAACTTTTTAATCGCCAGGCCTGCATCGCCGCGGGGCGGGGGGCGGCGGGGGGCTTTAACTCCGCCACCTCCTGCTGCTCGTCTCTCTCGGTGCACCACTAGGGGACCCTGGCCGTCGTCGTGGCCTTCGCCGAGGAGCGGACGCCGTCGACGTACGACGATGACGCGCCGACGATTCGGATTGGCGGTCCGCCCGAGTCTCCAGAGTCCCCACGACGGCCATCCCAGAGGCGCTGCTGCCATTTTTCACTTTTCTATTTTATTTTTTTCCCCCAGGCTGGTCCGGTCCGGTCCCTGTCTAGACAATCGATGCTTCCTCGCACGCTATGGCTCGAGCAATGGCCGTCCAGGCCAGTGGGACAGCGGGGCGGGGCGGCCCGACCTCCACGCGGGGCGGGGGGCGTAACAGGCCGCCCCACACTGTCATTTGGCAATCCGGTGGCGGGGCGGGGCGGTTTGAGAGCCGCACGCGAGAAACCAAATCATTTCCGGAGACTGCGCGACCGCAACGCGGTGCGCGCGCCCGCCTCACTCCCAACAGCTGCTACCCCGGCCCGGCCCGGCCCGCCCTCGAGCCGCCAGCCGCCCCCGCCGTCGTCATATTCAACTAAACAAGTCATTTTCTTTAATGATTCACACTGGCGAAGCCTTGCGCGGCGTTTGGCGCGGCAGTTTCCCCCCACCACCAACACCCCCTCACTCACCCACACAAACACAGGCAGCTATTTGCGCGCCCTGGTGTGTGTGTGTGTGTGTGAGAGAGAGAGAGAGAGAGAGAGAGAGAGAGAGAGAGAGAGAGAGAGTGAGAGAGTGTTCGCGATGTCAGCAACGAATCGCGGCAGTGAGAGTGGCGCGCTTCCCTCGGCAGGCGAACCGCGTCGTCGCCCTGTCTCTCTCGCACTCGTAAGCCGGCCCGTGTAGGAGCGAGAGAGACAGAGCGACGAAAACGACTCTCGGAATCAGTCCGGGGGCGCAGCAGACCAGACAGCACCAGCCTCGGAGTAAGGACATCCCTCGCGCCCTCGGCGCAGCCTCTGTCTCAGTGAGACTCGACTCCAGGAGCAGGAAATATCGGGCCATTCTGATGAGGAAAACCGTCCGTCGATACGAGAGAAAGGAAGAAGAAAGATGGGAAGGAGGAAAACTCTTCCCATGAATGGTTTCGCGAGTACAAGAAATGATGTAATCAATATTCCGCAAAACGACACGCCGACGTTTAACAGTGTGGGCGGAGGCGGGTGGGGCCGGGCCGCGGACCTCGTTAAAACAGCTGAAACGCCCCCGGGCCGCCTCCGGCCCGCCCCCGGCGCCACAAAGGGCCACACGTGGGCCTCGGCAGCCGCTGCCATGCCGCTTCTCCGCCCGGATTTCAGGCAGGCATTGTTTTCGCATAAAAACAACACGGGGAAACAACAACGGCAGCAGAAACAATTTTCCCTCGTGCCGAGGCCAACTTTCGGGCTGCAGCGAACTGCAGCGGGAAGGAGCAGTAGTGCAGGATGTGCCACGGCACTGGAAGCCCCGCCCCGCCACCGCCACCGCCCCACTGTAATGAGAAACGAAGGCGAAAGCCTCGAAAGCCTCGAAAGCGGAGTGGCTGCGCGACGCTGCGCGACCTGGAGGCTCGCCCTGGCCGTGCTGGCGGTGCTGGCCGTGGCAGCGAGGCAGCGACACCTCGCGGCCAGCACCGCGATTGCAGCCAGCCGCGTCGTCGCCCTGTCTCCCTCGCACCCCGTCGGCACCACGCCCTGCGAGAGCGAGAGAGAGAGAGAGAGAGAGAGAGAGAGAGAGAGAGAGAGAGAGAGAGAGAGAGAGAGAGAGAGAGAGAGAGAGAGACGCAGAGACAGAGCGGCAGCACGGCCGGAAACTAGGCGCGCGTCGGTCCGTGATGGGAACGCGGAGCACGGCGGCGTGGTGCCGTGGCGTGGCGCCGCGCGTCGACGCGCCTCTCGGCCCGGGGTTCCGTTTTCGTTTTCATTAACGCGGCAAAAGCGACTCGGTGACAGACACGCCACGCGACGGACAAGGCCGACGCACTAATCAATCCCAACCCCAGCCATAACACACTCCCCCCCCCCCACGCCACGCCATTCTCCTGGTGGCGGTGATTTCGACGAGTTGCACGGGGCTGCTCCAAAACTCGCTCGGCGGATACACGCGTCCCCCAAACAACAACAACAACAACAACAAGGCCCGACCGTACCGTGGGTAGTGTTCCGCATCGGGCGGGTCGTACGGATTTGCACCGCCCGATGGCGCTGGCAGCCTACGGCCCGATCCGGCCCGCCCGATGAGCAAGCGGCTCGGACGGCATCGGGCGGCCGTCAACCCGATCGTCTTGGCTACTTTTGCCGACTAGAGGGCAGCACCTGTCGGGACGGTTTGTGTCACATGCAGGGCGAGGGGCGAGGAGGGGCTGCTTCCGAGCCAGGCGATGTCCAAGCCGTGTCTTCGGCGGCACTTCGGAGCCACTTCGGTTTTTGAGTTTCGATGACACGTCGCGGTGCAGTGCTGCGGTCGAATTTTCACGGAACCCGACCGACCCGCCCAATGCGGAACACTAACCGTGGGTGCCGCCGCCAGCAGGCGCCGCCGCTCCCTCGAGGGAAGCGTGGAAATTCAAAATGAAAACGGTGCGGCGCCGCTGATGCTCGGAGCAGAGCACACAGTGGAAGGAAGAAGAGGTGGCCGCCTCGACCGCCAGAGGGCAGCAGGGCAGCGGGGCGAGCGGAGCGAAAGCGCGGCGCGGGCGGCATTCGGGTGTTCACGCACCACCGTCCCGTCGAGACGCGCACAGTGGGTTTAAGGTTTAAGGATGGACGTTCAACAAACGGCTCTGTCAAGCATGAGCCTGGGTGGAGGCGGCTAAATGTCGCAAAATGAGACTATGGGTGCGATCCCATCAACAGATCGCTCTCTAAACGAGCAATCCATTGGTGGGGTCACACGTTCGGTTCTAGTCCTGTTTAGTGACTTTGGAGCTCAAAACGCGTCTAGAGTTTTGGCCGCCTCCACCGTTCTTCTGGTCCACTGTGAGACGACGCCG